GCATCTGCTGGTTCCAAAGGCATTTGGGACTCAGTCAGTGTAATATGGTGCCAGGCAAAGAGAGTCCCGGAGGGGGGACTCAAGTCCATCTGCAGCACCTCCCCGTGCCAATCTCAACCAAAGTCACAGCTTGGCCACTAGCACGTGGGGACCCCAGGGATTCCTCTTTGCCTGCAGATACTTTGCTACCTTAGGTGACCAGTGCTTTTGCCATGGTGCCCGTCAGCTTCTGCAGCTCTAGAGTAAGTCTGGTCTTTAAGGAGACTTTGCACATTCTGCTCTCATTCTTTGTATCAGTTTATTCACTCTAACTCCCAGTGGGCCGACTGTCTCCCCCATTTCCTCATTCTTAGGGAGTCTGTCAATCTAGACCACTCCCATGTAGAGATAACAGAAATCACTGTTTCCATTTTACAGATGGGGAAATTGAGGCAGAGTGGAGCTGGAACTTGAATCTGAGTGTGTCTGGCTTTGAGGGAGAGGCTTTCTACAAGCTGTGTGTGGTTAGGGGGAGGTGGGGACCTCGAATGGGGGCATGAGAGGAGGACAGTGTCAGTATGGGGGGGGGTGCCTCAAAGCCAAACTCTGGACCTTCTCCTGGCCAGGCTGAGACACAATATCTGGGTGAGAGGTGCAGGGCGGGGGCCTCAGCAGCGAGCTGACCTGAAGAGTGGGACAGGCTAAGATCTGTCCCGGGTCTGCCTGCTCCTGCCTTTCCCCATGTCAGTGTCCAGCCCTCTGGGAGCAATCAGGGTTTACTCAGGGAAAGTATGCAAAAGAGACAGTAGGTGCTCAGCTCAGACTCTGCCACCAGGAGGCACTGCTGCCCGGGTTGCTGCTCCTCCTGGCCATCTCTGCACCAAACTCTCTCAACTCCGTCCTCCCAGCCAAGGGCATTGCTGTCCCTACCCATCCTAAGAGCACAGAGATGCGGCCCAGCCCTGCTCCCCAGATGTCTGTATCAGGAAGGGAGTGGACAGCCATGTGCTGGGCTGTAGCAGAGGAGGCGGACTTAGCGTGCCATGGGTGGATGAGGACCGTCCAGCAGAGTCAGAAGTGTCTCACAGGAGAGGCTTTTGAACTTGACTTTCCAGGACGAGCAGTGATCCACTCCTTCTCGGCAGACCCTGACCCCTGCTGGCAGCCCTGGGTCAAGGCCACTGGAGTGATGTGTACCCATCACCCCTCCTCCCAAAAGTACCTGTGGGCCCCAACCTTCAGGTCTTGGCCATCCTTACACGGAGGAGGAGACAGAGATGCCTGCCTGGGTACAGGCTGAGGGGCAGCTGCAGTGCACCCTGATGCAGCTCTGAGTAGCTCAGAGCCTGACAAATGAGGTTCCTCACGGTAGGAAAAACAAACTCGGACTCAGACTCAGTTTCCCCTGTTATACATTCACAACCTAGCAACGGAGCATCAACAAAGAAGATGCCTGTGACTTCAAAAGGTGTGCGGCTTTTTCCCCACCAGCAAGCAGGCCATTCTGCAGCAGAGCCATCAGCAGGGTGTCCTCAATTTAATTCAACTAGGCCTTGCTCTCAGCTTGACACCAGAAGGTCTCACAAGTTGAGAGCTCAGCTCCCAAGACCACTGGCCCCCTCCTGCCTACCGCCAAGGCCAGTTGCAAACCCAGCTTTCTTTACTTGTGCTTCTGGGAAACCGGCTATAAATTAGGGTTCCCGAGGCTCCTGTCTTTCTTGCGTTCAATTAATTTGTTGAGTGACTCACAGAACGCAGAGCAACATTTTTACTAGTTTACTATGAAAGATACTACAAAGGCCCCACCTGGAGAGAGGCAAGGGAGAGTTGTGTGGGAAGGGGCGCCACCCTCGGCCTGCTGTGCAGAGGGCAGCTCTGCAGACGGATGCTCCGCAGACCCCTGTCCTTTGGGTGTCATGGAGATGTCACTACTTATCTAGTGCAGGGAGATGGGGTGGGGAACCCAGCAAGGTCTGACTATTCAGACTCTTGTCAGCCTCTCTGGGCAGCATTCCTCCCCCCAGGGTTTGGGGGAAGACTCTCTGGAATGACCTACTATCAGCCAAGGAAAGGTGAGAGAATTTCTTTCCACCTGGCCATAGAGAGGCAGGGAAAAATTAGGGTTTCTATGACCCTCCTCACAGATCTTCTGGCTTCTATGCCTGTCTTGGAGCATGATGTGCTTTGGGGAGGACATTGTGAGCCAGCACCTGTGGACAAGAACAAAAAGATGTTGTACTAACACCCACCACTTCCTCATCATGTGTCCTTGGGCAAGTCGTTCAGCTTCTCCTTGTCCGCCCCCAGCCTGTTTCCTCCCTGTAAAGAGGAGACAGATAGACCTTGCCTGAAGTGTGGGTCCCCCTGCATGCCTCCCTAACACCTAACTCTGACAGACAAACCACCACTCTTTGTTAAGGCCTCATCCAGGCACCACCGAGCAGGAAGCAGGGGCTCACTCACCCTCCACAGGCTGCTTGGACTTGTCCTTACTACCCTTTGGGAAGGGACTGCCTTGGCGCTTCTACCAGCTGGGTAGGATTCTAGAGAATCCCAGGAAACGGCCCAGGACGCTGGGGAAGGACCCTCACTGGTCAGCCTGTCTGGATTGATCTGAACGCTCAGCAGAAGGCAGTGTGAGCTCTCCTGAGCTCTCCCACCTATCTGAAGTAAGGACCATCTCCTCACCTATCAGGTGAGATAACAGCAATGGACAGTGTTTCTGTCATCTGTCTGGCATTTCTCTTTTCCCTTCTCCATCTTGGGGATCTTCTCCCAACACTGACTCAGGAAGAGCTGTCTTGGCACCCATGATCCTGCCCTCACAGGTGATGGCCCACAGCTTGACACCTGACCAGAGCCAGGCTCCTCAGAAGACTTCCAGAAAACAGCTGCAGTCTGGAGTCTCAGGCAGAATAATCCTTCTTCATGGCAGAAAAATGTAGAGAGAAAGGCAGGAGAGACAGAGACAGAGTGGGAGAGAGGGAGACAGAGGCTAATAGAATGTGTCCTAGCAGCGCCGGGTCCCAGCTCCAGCTGTGTGTGGACTGCTAGCCCTCCTCAACTCAGAAGGTCTCCTCTCTCAGATTCTAGGAGTCTCCTTGATGACTGACACTGTGTTCCCCGAGATGCCCTTCTTCCCAGGGTACAGGTAGGATCCAGTGAGCCACTGTGTGTGAAGCACTGCAGGCTGTGTAGACGTGAACTCGTTTCTCTTCATGGACACCAGGGAAATAGGGGCTGGTAAGATGTCAGGAAGATATCAGACATCAGTACTCCTGATATAACTTAGCAGCCCCTGGAAGATTAGAGTCAGGTGACCTGGGACCCTGCAGAGCCCCACGGGAGACCAGAATGAATGCCCGAGTGGATTATTTGGTAGCGAGGAAAGGATGGAGCTGAGAAAATAAAAAGTCTCTGTCTTTTGTAGGAGAAGCTGTCAGCAGGCCCTCCCTGTGCCAGCTGTGTGTTCCAGGGTCACTGGGGTCCAGAAGATGGATGCCAAGAAAGGTTTTCCAGAGGCAAAACAACTAAGTTGGGTTTTAAAGGATGCATACGAGTTTGCTAGGCAGGTAAAGGCCTGGGGAGGAGCACTGGACTACTAGTAGTACAGCTACTACTACCTTTAGTACAGCTGATGATCATGAGGATTTAGATGCCCTGGGTTAGAATACGGTCTCACCCACTTATTATGACTTTCTCTAAGCTTTTGTTCCCTTGTGTGCAAAATAAAGAAATTCCAGGGTTTTAAAAAAGGCTTAAGCGAGGTAATTGATGTAAAGTATTCACATTAATGTGTTGTCAGAAATTTGTGGTCAAGCACTCAATAAAAGCTTCACTGCTTATGAAAAACTTCTATTGCATGATCAAACTCAATCCCTTAAGATGATCATACCTGTTATTAACTATTGAGCCCTTAAATTCCAAGCACTGAGGTAAATGTTAGCATGCTTTATCATTTAATCCTTTCCTCAACCCATTAAGGATGGACAGATCAATCCAATACTACACAGAACTGATGCGGAGCGCACAGACCAGGATTCAAACCCAGGTTTGTCTTAAAATCCGTGCATTTGGCACAGAAAACGCAAGGCACTAGCACGAGACACACAAGAGGGGGCTGGGGTGCCAGGTGTCCCTAAGGCAGACTGCCCGCAGTAATGTGGCCCGGCGCTTAAGGCCGGGTCTCTAAGGACACACCCATCACCAGACCGCAGAGGAGGGCCGACTGGGGAGGACACGCCGCACCTGCTGAGGCTTCCCCAGCCTCCACGCTCCTAGAAAGGAACAGGCTGCGCAGGGGCCGGGCCTACAAGGCTCCGGGTAGGGTGTGCAGGGCGGAGCAGAGCTGAGCAGAGCTGCAGCCTCTAGACCCGCCGCCCCCCTGTTTCCCTCCTTTCCCCGCCCCTCTGCTGTTTCCGCCGAAGATCCTGGTAGAAAATTCCAGCCTCGCCCGGCCGCGCGGCCCCTGAGCTGGGTTTTTCCAGGGAGCACGTCCTGCGGGTGCCGCCCCCGCGCTGTCCTGGGGCTCACAGCCCGGCACCGTCCCAAGGCCACCGGCCGGCCCTGACTCCTTGGGGACCGGTGGGCGGGTCGGGGGAGCCGGCTCGGGACGTCCTGGCAAACAGGAAACCAGACAAAGGGGCGGCTTATCGGGCCACCCGGCATTCCTTTCAGGTGATGCCCGCAGGCCAGAGGGACGCGGCCAGAGGGGCTGCCAGGGCCCCTGGAGGAGGACGAGTCCCGGCCAGCGCCAGGTGATGGGTGACCTAGGTTGTGGGTGTTGCAGCGACACGGCCACCCCTGCCTTTGTTGCCAGCTGGGGGTTGGGCCAGATGGAGTCCAGTAGTTGCTTCCCCTTCCTGGAAAGGAAAGGACACCAGGTGACACCTGCCTGTCACCAAAAAGTCGGGGTTAGACCGGGCTGGGTGCTGCTCTGTGTCTTGCGGTGATCTCGGCTCCCGGATACAACCTGAGATTTGCAGGGAGGTCCACAAACAGGACTCCGGAGAAAGCGAAGATTTCTAGCAAGTGTGTTTATTGGGGACAGATGTACACTGTAGACAGGGCTAACTTTTATAAAAGGAAGGTCAAGACACTTGGAGAGCTGCAAGCAGGCAGAGCAGAGGTGGCAACTGTTAGCAGTGAAAGTTTGCCCTCAAGGAGGGTGAAACTGCAGGGAGGTCCAGGGTTGGTTTTTCTTTTGTTTTTCCAGACTTGGAGCGGGTAGCAGGGAGTGGTAACTTCTTCCCCATCAGCCTGCATCTCCTCCCTCCCGGTCACAAGGGGAGTCTTTTGAACTTATATGGTGTTAGTCTGAACAAGTATGGTGGCCAAAGTCCATTAGGGGAGTCAAAGAACCACAATGCCAATATATGTAAATGAGGCCTAATTAGTGTAGACAGGTCACTATAGTCCAACTTGGGGCCGAAGCCTCGGGGTGTGACTGTGTGGGATTAAAAAATGTAAGACCGGGCAGGACAGGGAATTTGCAAAGGGGCTTCCTTTCAGGAAGCTTGGGGGCTGCAAACTCAGGAAATCTAAACCATGGCCTTTCTTAGAATCCTGTCCTGGGGCCCTGCTGCTAGTTCTGCAGCTCCAGCTCTTTTCTGGCCGACTACCTACCTATCATGCCTGGAGGAACCGGCTGCTAAATCTGTGTGGGGAACGGAGGGGAAAGAATGGGCTGGAGTCACTCAGTCATTTCACAAACAGGAACACAACCACATAGCAAGATAACCCCGGGGTGTCAGGGACCACTGAGGAACCAGGCCGGGGCCTGCCCTCGGGGAACTTCCAGCACGGTGGGGAGGTAGGTAGATACTCTGATAAGCAAGATACTGGGTAAGAGGACAGCACCAGACGAGCTGCAGAGGTGGGTGTCCGACCTGTGCTGGGCTGTTTGGAGGATCTTGGGTCCATTGCGCTGGAGCTGGCTTTGAAATAGGACTGGGTGGGTGGCATGTGAACGGGGCAAAGCATGTACAAATGCCTGCATGTGGTCTGCATATGCACAGATCATTTGAGGAGCTGCCCGGGCACTGGGCAGGCCCTGAGGGCCGAGAAGTCCAGGCTGAGGTCTGAGGGCTGGCAGGTGGGGTGGGAAGAGGACTCCCAGGCCATGCAGCTTGGCCCAGGAGAAGGGGAAGGTGAGAGCCCTTGTCTGGGTGGCTGGGAGAGGCCGCCCTGCAGAGACAGGGGGCCCAGTACTGTGGGGTGGTGCCCTCCTTCCCTGCTGGGGCCCGGCGCCAGTTCTGCTGATTGGTGGAGCGGCTCCCCCTTTGGGCAGCTGAGTCAGCGTCTGAAAGTTGGTTCCCAAGGCCCACATTTCTCTGGAGGCCAAAGGCCATGCCATCGCTGCCCCGTCCCCAAATGGGTCAGTGCCCTGCGAGCTGACCAGTAGGACTGGAGGAGGCTAAGAGTTCTAGTCCACCAGCCCTACCAACCAGCCACGGCTCAGGCAGTCCCTTCTACATGCCACCCCAGTTCTGGCCTGGCCCTCCACTCTGGGAGGGTCCGAGATACTGCAGTTATCAATATTTTGGTTTTATTTTTAGACAGTGAAAAGAAAAATAAATATCTTTGAAGAATAAGAATACAGGAGTGGGGTGAGGGAGTGGACCTGGAGGTTTGGGGTGCCTGGATCCCGTGGTCTTTGGCTGGGGGGCCAGGGATCTGCAGGCCCCCTCCTCCCTGGGCAGACCCTGCTGCATCCTCGCTGGGAAGTCTGAGAGCTCCGCCAGCCTCGCCTGCCCTACTCCCAGGCCGGCTCCCAGGCCCGGCGCTGCGTCAGCGGATCCGTGGGATTAGAGCCGGCGCCGCCTGCGCCCCAGGCTCTGTCTGCCCCCTGGGCGCCCCACCCGGGGGCTCTTCCACCACCGCTCTCTGCCGAGACCACCGGCCGGGCCTGGCTTGGCCTGGCCTAGTGCCCGCGACCTCAGCGATGACCCATGTCCTCCATGCCCACACGGCCCCAGACCCCCAGCACGAAACTCTCGATGTCACACTCGTTGCCGCCGCGCAGGATGCGGAAGTGGCCCCTCTCGCCCCAGGATGGGCCCCACGAGTTGGCTGCCGTCTGCGAATGAGGAGAGGCCCATGAGGAGAGGAACGGGAGTGGGCGAAGGGAATCAGAAAAGGGACGAGGCCTCAAGGAGCACTGGTGGGGAGGGACTCACCCAGTATTTGAGTGTCCTTCCATCGGGCAGCGTCTCCTCTCCCCACCTGGGGACAGAGGGGAGGGGAAGGGGTTGATCACACCTGTTATCAGGGGCCTGTTGCTTTTGGAAAGGAGCGCACCCTGGGAGTGGCTGGTCCATGCCTCAGTCCAGTGCAAGCCTCTCTGCCCTGCGTCAGTCCCCACATCTCTAAATCTGTGTACCTGAGCTCACCAAGGGTGTAGGGAGGGGCAAGCAAGAGGGGAGGGACCTCTGGGCTGGTCCTCCAGGACCACATGCTGGGACCAGTTCTGTGGGATCTCACACACCTGTCTGCCCTCTGTCCCTCGGGGAGCCGGGGTATGTGGGTGCTAGGGACCAAAAGGAAAAGATGCAGAAAATGTGGGTGCCTGAGAGGCCCCAAATTCCCACTGCAAATCACATCTTATTGGTTGGACTTATCATTGGCTACTAACAATAGTCAGCAAACTACTAACAAAGCAATGACCCTAACATGTCCTGCTGTATCAGAAAGGGCATCTGAGGCTGGGAGTTACCTGCCCAGGTCACTCAGCGAGTCTGCCAGAGTTGGGACAGGTGCCAAGACAGAAAGAGGTTAAGCAACTCTTGGATCCTGGTCTCTGTTTCTCTGGAGTTATTTTGCCCCCTTGCGTAAGGAAGGGCTGTTCCCAGAAGCCCAAAGGTTCCCTGTGCACGGTGTGATCCAGGGCCACACCTTCTTCTTTCAGAGTCTTAGTTCCTTCCTTTGGAGAGAAGGAAGCAGTCCTGCCTTCGCAGAGAAAGTAGATTCAGAGCAGGCTTCAGCGTCCCCATGCCAGCCCTGCTGCGCCCAGCCCCTCTGCCCGTAAGCCCCTCACCCTGTGATCTTGACCGAGTGGGTCCCGTGCCGCCGGTACTGCTCGGGCCTCACCATGCTCAAGGGTGTGTGGCTGTAGATGCCGCCCTTGTACAGGAAGAAGTCCTCATGCACCTCCATGAGCGCTGTGGGCAGAGACCAAGGTGGAGCGCACTCAGCCAAGCCTGTGGCCTTGTGGCCGGGTGCCAGTCTCACCTTCACGACTCTCCTGGGGTGCCTGCAGGGAGGGGACAGAGCCCCCTTACTCCCAACCCCAGTGGACTTGCTGCTTAATGCTGTACGGACCGTGTGGGCCGCTGTGCCCAGCTCAAACAGGCACAGGCTTTCGGAGCCAAGTGCAGCACAAGGGGCGTTTACCTTGGACCGGACCATTCTTCATCAGCTCCTTCATGATCTCCTTCTCCTGAGGGTGGAGGATGGGCAGGAGAGCATCCGTTGAGGGCGGGGGCTCCAGCCTTTGGCCGGGCCCCCACCTTCTGCTTCTGCCCCTTGTCCATATGCAAACTTACATCGGACCCCAGACGGTAGGCAGGAGTGACCTGGTAGATGTCATTCGCATCAATGCGGCTATTGGGGCAGCGCTGAGTGGCCTGGCGCTTACCCCGGCCCATGGCCCGGCTGTGCATCATGCAGGGGGGTGCCGGGCCAGCCTCAGCCTGCTCATGGCCCGAGAACGGATAGCAGTGGTCAGACACAACCCTGGGAAGGCAGCAGAAGGCGCGTGGATGGTGATATGGTGCCACACAGCCTAAGTACTGCCCACAGGGCGTCCTACCCCACTCCTCACCCATGCCCCCTTCTGCGTACCCTCGACGGCGCAGGAACCACCAGGCACCGTCAAGGTGCCCTCCGCGGCACCCCTGCTGGTGGTGAGTGTCACAGGACAGCAGGTTCTGGGGTGACAGCACAGGCGTCATGTGTCCCATAGAGTGGATTGAGACGCGATCGGATGCCACAGCTGGTGAGGGAAAACGAGGGGCTGTCAGGGGCTGGGCTTTGCCTTCTTCCCATCTTGTGCCCACCCAGCCCCAGACACACCTGCTGTGGAGAAGGCCCAGGAGCCTGCACAGTTGCCCTGGTCAAGTGGCTCATGGATCAGGTTGGGCCACTTCTCAGAAGCCTCGAAGGCTGTGGGCAGCACTTCGCCTGGGGCCAGCACCGTCTGCAAGGCAAAGCTGACCCTGACGCCTCCTGCCAGGCCTGGCCTGCCCCTTAGGAGCCCAGGCACTGCTGGGGCCCTGAGAGTCCAGGGCACTCTGCAGCCCACTTGCTGCTGTGGGGTTCCAGCTACCTCCAGCTTAGATGTGAGTGGAAAAACCAAGACCATTTAGCGCCTCCCAAGTATCAGGTAGGAGGTGGATGGTTCCTGAAGCCAACAGGGATGTGCTCCAGCCAGGGCCATCAGCTTTCCATTCTCAACCCTGTCCCCCTTCCTCTGCACCTTCTCATCTACCACACCCTCCTTCCCACCATGATTGTGGCCTCCGGGCCCCAAAGGCCAGGGTAGGGAAAAAGCAGTGAAGTCCCGTGACCAGCCACACTGCCAAGACAAACAACAGGAGGCAAAAAATAGCCACAGGCCCAGGGGAGTAAGGGCAAGGGCAAGGGCTGGTCACCCTGGCCTTGGGCTGAAGTCCCTCCATGGGAAGGCCAGCCGCTGTCTCTCTCCTGGCTGCCACTGATGGCAGACCCTCCGGTATGTACCCCAGCCCAGTGCTACCGCAGGAAGTGTCCTTCTTCACCCCTTGACGGTTCAGGTCTGGTTCCTATCCCTGCTGCCCCCACTGGGTCCCCTTGAGGGGAAGAGAGAAGCCCTGGCCTCCCTGGGGGTTCCACTGAGTTGGCATTTGTCCTGAGAATTACTGCTCTCTGGCCAAAGCTGGAAGAGTGTCTGTCCCTCTTTTCCTAAAATATGAAGGTGACCTCCTGGGTCCTTGGGCCCTAACCCAATTGCACTGGGGCCAGCAGCATTTTTCCCAGGCTGTGGAGGGAGGAGGGATTACTACAGAACTCAGAATCTGAGCTCAGCACGTCTAGTGAACCTTCTTATTCATCATAAAGAGGAAACAAAAGCCCAGAGGGGAACGATCTGCCCAGGGACACATAATTGCTTAGTAGGGGACAGCATCTCAAAGTCCTAAGTATGAGGCAATGGCAGGAGGGTGGGCAAGGATGGACTTACATAAATCTCATTCATGTTCATGACAGAGGAAGAGGGGCGGATGGTGCCCAGGCGGTAGCGAATGCCCTCATCCAGTGTCATGCCCCAGAAGGCGCTGTGGTTCCCAGCCTGCCACCTGAAGAAGAAGGGATGGGGGAGTCACAGACCTGCCAGGAATCCTGGGGCCACATGTGTGCGGCTGGGAGACACACACATCAAATCTGAGTGTGTTGCCTCGCATGACGTGCGTCTCAGGCAGAACATAGGTGTGTGTGTGTGTGTGCGCATGCCCGCAGGGGTACGGCCAGGGCATCTTACCCATAGTCACCCTGGTTGATGGCGGTGATCATGTCTGGGTCCACTAGGCATGGCTCCTGGTCACACTCCCACTGCCCTTTCTCCTGGCAGGTGCTGGCAAGGAAAGGAGGAGATGAAAGTCTGAGTGGGAACCTGGGAACTCTCAGCAGGGACACAGCCTCAGAGGTTCAAATGGGCCTAGGATTCTGTAGCAGCAACTACAGGTACAGCATCTTGACAATTCCTCAGCCTGGTGGCTTTCAACGTCAGCTTCCATCTCACGATGTTCTCCTCCCCTCCTCTGCTTAGATCTCTGCCTGAACTCATGCTGCTGTTCAACATCACTAGGGGGTATCGAACACCAGATCAGACCCAATTCCAAATCTCCCTCACTGCCGGTTCTCCTAAAATGGCAGCTCATGAGCCGGGTGTGGTGGTGCACATCTGTAATTCCAGCACTTGGGAAGCTGAGGCAGGAGGATCTTTGTGAGTTTGAGACCAGCCTGGGCTGCAAAGTGAGCTCTAAGCCAGGCAGAACTGCATAGAGACCCTGGCTCAAAAAGGCAAAAGTTAATTAATTAATTAAAATGGCAACTGTATCCTTCCTGGGGCTCAGACCAGAAACCTGGGAGTCACCCTTGCCTTCCTCTCACATGCAGAGCCAGCCATAGGCACATCCATTTGGATCCACCTTAAAAACACAGCCAGAATCCAAACCATGTCTCATTCTCTCCTGCAGCCACCACAGCCAATCACTTCTCACCTGGCGTTCTGCTCAGTCTCCTCATTGCTCAGGCATCTGCCCTGCGTCACCCTATGTCCCCCCAGTATATTTTTAACACAGCTGCCAGCGTGATCCTGCTAAACCTAAGCCATATCATGTCATTCCTTTGCCCAAAACTCTCCATTGGTTTTACATCACAGAATAAGAGCCAAAGTCCTGAGGTGATGACAAGCCCTTCAGGATTTGTCCTCTTGTCCCCTTTGGGGCTGACCCCCTCGTCTTCCTCTTTTTTCTTTCTCCTCCTCCTCCTCCTAGTGTTGGATGTTTTTTCCCAGTACTGGAGATTGAGCCCAAGCCCTTCATACTGAGCTTTTTTCCCCAGTCCTTTTTTATTTTTTATTTTGAGACAGGATCTCACTAAGTTGGCCAGTGCTTGAACTTGCGATCCTCCTGCCTCAGCCTCCCAGCATGCTAGGATTACAGGCTTACACCATGCTGGGCTGTAGTCCTGGATTCCAAGGCTGCAAGGAAGCTGACTGTTCTTACCAGCTCTACCCTTGGCCCAGGGTCTTTGAGCTGCTCTACCTCCCACATTCCTATGGCTCACTTTCATTTCTTCCAAGTGTTCATTCAAATCTCACAAGCCCTAGCCCATAGGAGCCACCCAGTACCTATTTGTTGAATGAATGAGTGAATGGATGGATGGATGGATTGATGGCTGGATGGATTGATGGCTGGATGACTAGGGTAGTATGGTGAAGTGGCTAAAAGCATGGATTCTGGAGTTCAAATCCTGGGTTCCAATCCCAGCCATGTGACCTTAGGAAAGTTATTTAAATGCTCTCCCTCAGTGTCCTAGTTAATAATGAGGTTAATAATAGGACCGCTTTCCAGGAATTAAATGGTAGCCTGGCAAAGTACTTAGTACAGGGCCTGACCCATGGTGGGGGCTCAGAATTGTTCTCCACTACATTGTTCTCTTCACAGGAACCCCAGGCCCCCCTTCTCCTGAGCTTCAGACTCACATCAGCTGACCTCCCGGGACCTCCAGACAGGTAAAATAGTCTCAGACTTCAAATAGTCACTCGGTCTTCCAGCATGCTCCTCCCCGCACCCTCAGCTCAGGGCACAGCACCCAGTTATTCAGATCTGGCTGCCACCGGGTCTGCGGTGTGCCCCACAAGTGCCCCATCAGCAGGCCCCGGGGATGGTACCCTTCCCCTGCCAGCTTTCTCTCCAGTCCCCCTTCACCTCTCACCTGGGCAAGGACAAGGCTTCCTGATCAGGTCTCTCTCCCATCCCCCCACTGCACTCAACAATCCATCCCCTCCTGCCCCAAAGCCCGAGAGATCAAAGAGCAATGTCCGCCAGGTCACACACTCTCTAAGGGGCTCCCGCAACACTCAGGACAGAACACTGGCAGCCTGGGATCCACGGCCGCGCCTCCTCCAGGCCTCCGCTAGCTTCCCCACACTCTCAGCTCCCACCGCAACGGTCCCGTCCTGTCTCCCTGCTCTCCTCCCGCGCCCTTACTGGGGCCATGGCATCTCCTGTCTTCTGCGCACTCCTACGTGTCAGCATAAGGGTTCCTTCCTCAGGATAGCCTTTCCCTCTTCCTGTGGTCCCCTCCCCACTCTAAACTGGGACCCACATTGTCTTCTCTTCCCCCATAACAGCATGTCATGGTACATCTGTCACTTTCCTGTCCTTCGCTCTTAACTAGACGCCCCTGTGGGACAAGGACTGCATCTGCTGTGTGCTGGCTGTACCTCCAGAGCCCGCACAGTGCTGAGATGCAGTAGGACTTTAATGACTAGGTGTTGGCCGAAGGCTTGAATTCTATGCATTCTGCGATGCTTTTACAAGCTCATAACTCTGCTATTACAAGATGCTAAACTGCTTCCTTCCAGGCCAGCCTGAGGCGCCCGCCTCCAATGTCGCCTTATAAGGTGCCTCAAGGAGAGCCAAGCCCCAGTACGGCTGGCTCTGCAGCCCCAAGTGAGCGGGTGGCTCAGGGAGGGCCAGAGAGTCTGCGGGCTCCTTGTCCTTCCTTTCCCCTGGGACACACTGAGCAGGGGTCACCCGGCCCTCCGGCAGCATCCCTAGAGTGCGCACAAACCCCGCCTACACCTTCTCTCAGGTGTGGGGTGCAGGGAACACAGCCCTGGAGCTGTCCTGAGGGGCAGGCAGGGGTTGGTCAGTGCTCTCTGGTTCCCACCTCCTGTGCCCCAGGGCTGCCTGAGCAGGTCTAGACAGGACCGGTGGCAGCAAGTTCCAGCATTCCAGAAGGGGCCTGGGACAGGAGTGGGAGAGCGTTAACCCCTCGGTGTCCACCCTGTCGGGACTTGCACAACCCTGCAGGCACGCCCCACCCTGCCGAACACACGCGCTGTGCACATGCACATTCTCTCACCCTGACACGGGCCGACCAGCACACACGAGTCCCTGCGCTCACTGTGACCCAGGCTCCCCTCACCCCAGTGAGGCAATGGAAACAGCTTATGGCAACACATTCCAAAAAGTTTCCTTCTCCCTGGGGCCTCTCCATCCCAGGCAGGGGCTGAGGGGAGAGTGGATGCAGGGCCCCCTCCTCCAAGTCATAGGGACCCCAGTATTTACAGGAAGGCCTTCAGCTTGCCCCCCACCCCTTCTCTACCTCCCTCCTCAGACTGAGTGTGGAAGGCACCCATGGACCCCTCTTCCTCCTGCCAGGAATGGTGGGGAACAGTGGAGAAGGGGGGGCTGCATTCCAGGGAAGGCCCTGCTACAGAATGGCCAGGTGCCAACTCAGCCATCCCTGACCCTTGTCTGGCCCAGGGCAGCGGATGCTGCAGTCAGAGATTTCCTTCCTGGCGTCCCCTTCTCGGACTCTCCCGTGACAGCAAGAACAGTTGGGAGGGGCAGCAGCCCCGGCTGAGGCAGGAGAGGCGGGGAAGGGCTCCCAGCTCAGGGGTGGCACCTGCACGAGGCAGCCATGGCTGACCACTCCTAGGAATGTTGCCGGAATGCTCCTGTGTAAGTGGGCGTGCTCGGTGTGAAAATTCCCATATTACGGATGAAGAAACTGAGGCTCACAGAGGGGAAAGGACTTGCTTCTAGGAAATGAGTGGCAGGGATAAGATTTGAGCCAAGTTTGTTATCCAGAAGACCCACCGTGAAAACCCCCTCCATGCCCCAGACACTCACCAACGGTTACAGTTGTCCCAGTATGTCCCGAAGACTGGGTAGATGCGATCCCCATGCATACATCCTGGTGAGAGGGAGGAGGGCAAGAAGTGAGGGGACCAGGCTGGAGACGATGGGCTGGGATGGTCAGGTCCTCAGCAGCCATCGACCCCAGCCCCTCCCTAAGTCACCCCAGTCACACGCACATCTTCAACACATAGTGAAACTAAAGCCACGCTATAAATGAAGACGTCTCCTGCAGGCTCACATACCAACTGCTACCTGGCAAGTTATTCAGTGACTCCAGCTTGGATGCCAGCCACAGCATTCTTGGGATCTTTTGCCACTTAAATGAGTTGACGCTTGGACATGGGGCATGGAAGGGGCATGGGAAGCCGAGGCTCAGGCAAGGTGAGGGACTCTAAGATAGCACAACACTTTGCGATAGCCACTCAATACGCAGTCCCCTAGCCCAAAGCCCCACAGAACTGTGGGAGGATTACAGTGCTTCTTCTGTGGGACAGGGGCAAGTGCATGGTGGAGGCTGTAGTGAAGGTGGTTAGAACCACCTCCCAGATAAGACCCATCCCAGGGTGCCATATCCTGAGCGGAGACAGGAGAGTGGCTAAGATGTGCCAGCCAACCACCACATGCCTTATCAGTCCAAGGGTGAGCTGGCAGGCGGGACCAGCACCTTGCACATCCGGAATGGAGCCGGACTGGGGGAAAGGGCGGGAGGCTGGCTGCCTTCCCTCTGGGCCAACTTAGAACCCAAGCAAGGAACTGCTGTCTTCCAGTTTTGCAGGAGAGCGTCCTTAGACCACAGGGGGCCTTCCTGGAGGACAGGGAGAGGGGCAGGGTCTCTTTCCCAGAGTCTACGAAGCCTCCCCGAGAAATCTCCGTGTATCAGCCTCGCTCAGGCACCTTGCTGAGCCTGGGGTTGACAAGCTGAGCTGCCCTCCTGGCCATCTGGGTACCTACCTTGGATTGGGGGGAAAGGGGGTGGCACGCCAAGGCAGGTGTCCCAGTAGTCAGGGCAGCAATCGGAGACATTTCGGTTGCAGAAGGAGTCACAGTAGCAGGTGGCGCCCAGGTAGGGCAGGGAGCAGTCATCAATGCGGCCCGTGCAGCACAGGGTCTGCTTCTTGCAATACTGGCCGCCCGCATCCCGGATGCCACTCATGTGCAGCCCTGGTGCCAACTCCCGGCGCCAGCGACCTCGCCGGGCACCCAGGGCTACCTGGCCAGCCAGCAGAAACAGCAGCAGCAGCCCCAGTGGACACTGCCACATGGTGCCTCCTGGGCCCCAGAGGGAGGTCAGTGGTCAGAGGTGGCAGGCATCAGAGCCTCCCAGGTGCAGCAAGACACATCTCCCCAAGCAGCACGGGGAACCTTGATTCCTGAGTCCCCAGCAAGACACAGTCCAGGAGCCGCTGTCTGAGTGCCCTGACTTCTAGGGGAAGGAGACTGGGCGAGAAATGGAGCCCCTCCCTGCCCTGAATAGGGACTGTCAAGGAAATGGGGGCTGTGGCATTCTTGGGGCCCCTGTTTAGTACCCATCCTTCAGACCAGGGTCTTCTCTCGTGTACCAGGTTCCTCTGCCCCGCCATCATCCCTGCCCTGTGTCTTGAATCTGTGCCTCCACAACCCACCCCAGCCACTCCCTGCCTAGTCGTCCTGTCTCCTCTTCTGCTCTTCTCCACTGTGCGTCTCTCTGGTACCGGTCTTGGTACCTCTGCCTGCCCCCTCCTCCCTGCCCTCCCCTGCTGTCTACACCCTCTGCCCTGGGAGCCGGGAGCGTCCCTACCTGGTGAGGGGTGTGGGCTGGGCCCAGGCTGCCCTCCGCCTCCTGGCTCTGTGACTGCCTGCCGGACACAAAGTCAAGTGAGGAGCACGGGGCGGGACCGCTTTTGTACCGCCCCGCCGGCCGGGGCCGTGCCCGCCCCAGCCGCCGGCTGCAGAAGGGAGGGGCCGCCCGTTTGCACCTGGAGTGGCCCCTACACCCCCGTCCCGGGCTGGCTGAAGCAGCAGAGGGGCCAAGTCTGAGGACCATGAGCACGGGTTGTCCTCCCTGGGGCTCTGCTCCGTGGAAGGCATTCTGTTAGGGGGCAGAACTACAACTCAAGCAGAAAGGATCGTGGTCTGATACCAGGAGGGACTTCCCCATGGGTTTTATCACGGGGCTAGGAGCTCTCCTAGAGGAGAGACAGGGGGGCCCTCAGCTCAGAGTCTTCAACATGATCTGGAGGGTGCCAGGGGCAAAAATATCTGAGCCTACCTATGGCCACTCCGTAAGAAAAATGGCCATGCTCACCTCTCTTCACAGTGAGCCCAGGCTTGAGGCCGCCCTGAACCACCTCAGCTCCGGGGAATGCTTGGAATCCTGAGGAGGATGAGTGAGGAACCTGAAGGTGCCCTGGAGACTCATCCCTGGGAGGTGGGTGTGGTGTGGGGGTGGCTTTGCACCCTGTGACCTCCCTTGGGTTGTGTTCGGGCACCTCGCCGGGCACCACCACCCTGTCAAACACAAGCACATCCTACTTGGCACCTGTCCCCTCCGAGGGCCTGAAGACGAGAGCCCTGCCAGCTGGCGCCCCCTGCAGAGCCCCCTCTTCCTGCCTCAGGCCTAACCCTTCCTTTGCCCAGGCTGGCCTGGGCCCTGAACAATGAGGCTTCTGTCCTGCCAGGCCTGCCTGCCGTCACCTTTTACCCTGTTGTGCAACGCCCCCCTTCCGACAGGTTGGGCCTGGGCCAGAGCACTCGACGGGAGGAGGAAGAAAGAGACTATACCTGGACAGGTCCAAGTCTGCACACCACCGGGAAGCAATGGGGCTCCCTCGCCTGTCACCGACCTCCCTGCGCCCTCACCCGCCCCGGCACCCTCAGCTGGCCAGCCACTGGCAGACGGGAGAGACTGGGACAACGGGCACTTGTGGCTGGGCTACCCCCTGCTAGGGGGCATGGGGCTGAGTCACCAAGGGTGTCCTGTCCTGGTGGCAGGCCTGGAGGGGTAATGCTCTGGGGCTCCAGCACTGGCATTCACATGCCCAGGGGCTGCCCATCGGCTCTTGCAGGGACTTGAGAGGACAAAACCTAAAAGAGAAACTGAGGCTCAAAAGAATAGACTTGTCCAAGGCAGGCCAACCAGAACACAGGCTCCCTACGCACCACTGACCCACTTCTTTCACCATGGTCACCCTTAGTCACCCACCATAAGTCTCAGCACCCTCCGGGTCGGGAAGTCCCCTCTCCTGTCTGACCTCCATTCATCTTACTGCAAGGTGAGTCCCCAGGAGCTGATCAATGGCATGTTCTGTCGAGGCAGAGGCTGCCTTTGAGATGCCTGTTCAGGTGCTGGCTTTACGGATGACTTTTAGGGTTCTGGGGCAGGGAGCCGACTTTCGTTCAACATCACCTCGTGGGCTGCCCGTGTAAGTCTGTGTGTGCATGTGTGTGTTGCATATGTGTGCCCGTGTCCAAGTAGCTGTATGTTTTTGCTCGAGTGCCTATTGGTCTGTGTGTTTGTCCTGTCTGCTACACACCTGTGGACGTGTATGTCTGGACATCGTGCCTGCGGTGCTGCTCTGTGTCTGCTTGTCTGCCAGCTACCTGTCTGCCTGCCATCTACCTGTGTTCTGTGCCCGAGCGGCTGTAGCGGTGTTGTCTTTGTGTCAGTCACGCCTGCGTGTGTTGCCTGTGTGTCTGTGTGTGGCTGTAAGACTGTTCTTGTGCGTGTCTACCTGTCTACTTCTTCTAGGTATCTGCGTGTCTGTGCTGGTATGTGCCTGTGTCTGTCTGGGGGTTTGTCTGTCTGCCTCTCCTTGGCTGTCTGTCTACACAGGAGGCAGGAACGCGGAGCAGGGGAGACAGCAGAGCCAGGCGCTTGGCGCCGAGCCTGCTCAGCGGAATCGCGTGACTCACTGGGCTCCTTGGCCAAGAAGCAGAGGAAAAGGGCAGGGCCCTGGGGGTGCTGGACATCCCACTTTCCTTTTCCATGGTCCCCTCCCTCCTGGTGACTCATTCTCTGTCTCTTCTCCAGAAGGGGGCCTTGTCCAAGGGCCCGGGACAGAGCAGCAGGCCAGGGTCTCCTGGAAGACTTCCCCAGGAGTCCTCCAGAGGCAGGTGGCCCGAATCTCCACGGTGACTGTGCCCTTCATGCGGGACCCTAGGCAGCACTGCCTGTCTCTGCGCCTCCATTTCCGTCTGTACTCAGGGGCTCCCTAGACACTCTCTGGGATGCTCTTCTTTCTATGGGAAGGTGAGGCCAGTGACCCACCCAAGAACACCGAACTAAAGTCTAGGCCTCCTCCGCTCTTCCTAGAGACCCAAAGCTGTTCCCGCCCCGAAATCCTCCAGCTGCCCTGGGTGCCCAGAATGGAGCCTTCTCCAGAAGCTGAGCAGGACAGTTGTGCTCCCTGAACCCGTGCCTGAAGACCCAGTCCTGCACTGGAGGTTCAGGTGCTGGGTCCCAAACAGCACTGTAGCCAAGGTGGGAGTTCCAGGGGCTCCCTGTGGCTGGCTGCACAAACCCAGAGCTCAGAGTGGTGACTCCTGGGACTGAATCTGAGTCTGAGACCCTGCTGATATGGAAGCATCTGGGGGAACAAAGACAAAAAAAAAAAGTGTCTGGGGGCACGCTGTGATGTGCTGGGCTCCTCCAGGCCCTTGGATTGTTTTATACAAAACACCCACAAGGCTGAGTGATAGAACGCTGTGCTGCCAGAGCAGGCCAGAGCATGTGGGAGATAAGATCCCAGGCCAGGTGGAGGTACGTTGTGCCATGCCATGCCATGCTGCATGCTTTGATTTTTTTCATTCATTCAACAACTATTTGTTAGACGTTAGCTGCATGACATACTCTGTGCCAGGTACAGAGTGCTGAGGGTTGAACCAAACAGACCCGGTTACTATGATTGTGAAATTTGCCTTCTCATAGGAAGACAGACACAAAAGTGAGCTAGAATGAGATCAAGAGTCATTCTAAAATGTGAAATGCTATGGAAGCAGGAACAGAGCATAAACACCTGGAGTCCTGTTTGGCCACAGGGCCTGAACTCCAGGAGGGAGGGGGCGGAGGAGCAGCAGGCGCCAGGGAGGAGGAAGCCTCAGGCAGGCCCCTCAGGCTACAAGAAGGAGCTGGAATTATCTTTTGTCACTGAGGAGATTTAAATGTGACAGTGAAATAATCTGATTTACATGGGCAAAAGTTCCCTCTGGCTGAGCTCCAGAGCAGATGACTGCAGAGTAAAAGTGGATTCAAAAAGGCAGAACAAGAGGCCATGGTATCGCCCAGGCCAGCGATGCTTAGGTCTGGACCTGGCTGATAGTGGTGGCCATCAAAAGAGGATCTGTTTAGGGTGTATTGTGGAGGTGGGAATGGACACGACCTGCTTCAGGATGGGATGTGGTCGGGGAGAGGAGAGATCACAGAAGGCTGCTGGGTTTCTAGCCTGGCAGGTAAAGACAACTGCAAACCTCTGCCCCAGCAGAGCTCAGTGGCACACACCTATAATTCTACCTGTTCTGGAGGTAGAGCGGGAGGATCACTTGCTTGCAGGGAGTCAGGGCTGGCCTGGGCCACAGAGCAAGCTCCCGTTTCTGCAGAAGTCTGGCAGAGAGGAAGGAGGGGTGAAATAAACAAAGGAGGGGTGAAATAAACAGAGCAGGAGCGGCAGATAGGAGAAAACCAGGCGAGCTCAGGGTACAGAAGCCAACTGAAGGCCAGGCTCACTGCCACATGCCTGTAATCCCAGCACTCTGAGAGGCTGAGGTAGGAGGATTGAAAGTTTAAGCCCAGCCTAGACAACTTAGTGCCTTAGCGAGACCCAGTCTCAAAGGTAAAAAGGGTTGGAGCTGGAGCTCAGGGTGAAGGCCCTGGGTTCAACGCCCAGCATCACCCTCCTAAAAAAAAAAAAAAAAAAAAAAGAAGTCAACTGAACAAGGTGTTTCCAGAAGGAGGGAAAGGGTTGGAGTGTAGCTCAGTGGTACAGTGCCTAGGAGAGGTTCTAGGTTTAACCCCAGCACCAAGGAAAAAGAGATGAGCTACAGGTACCCCACAGAGGTTGTGGCAAGAGGGCTGAGAGTCCACAGGAAGATGGAGCTGGTATCTCATAGCAGCAGGGGTAATCACCCAAGACAGGACACCAAAGTGAGGCTGGAAAGAAAAGAGGAAGGGATACAGGACCAAGGCTTGCACGCAAAAACATTATCACTGCCAATCCCTGTAGAGAATCCGGCAGTGCTGACCTTGGTTTCATAATGAGCCCAATATCATTGCACGTGGCAGGCACCAAACACAGCCCTTATCCCAGCTAATCCTATCAACGCCACCTTACAGATGAGAAAGTCGAGGCTCTGAAAGACTCTCTGGCTTGCCCAAAGTCACACAGCTATTGGGCACAGAGCAGGAGCTTGTCCTCACCTCTCTCTCCTGCCAGCTCAGCCACGCTGCCTCTGCAACAGCCACAGAGGTCTAAGGACAAAGTCAGCTCTCACTTAGGAGTGCTTGACGTCATCAGTTGTAGCCGGAAGTGGGGAAATGCAGAAAAGAGAAACACCTTTTTTTTTCTTTCCCTGCCCTGTCAGATTTCTACACCAGGGTGCCAGCAGCCAGTTGAACCCAAAGAGCCCCTGGGTACTATTTCCTTGAAGCCTGTTTGCTTTGTAAATTGCCATTTCTGCATCTCTGTCCATGGCTAGACTGCTAGTTCTTTCTGTACTTCACAAGAAGACTCCTATCTCTTAATTTCTGCTGTTGTTGGATCAGCATCACTTTTGCCAGTGAATGCTGCCTGGGAGCACTGGGCCTAGCATTATCACTCAAGAACATCTTCGGAGCTGCTGCTGTCCCCAAGTAACTGTGTACAGGAAAATTTCCACATCTCACTTGACATTTCCTGGAAGTCTTGATCACTACAGCCAGGAATATAAATAAATAAGAGTCTCAAAGAACCAAGAGGCTATTCCATGTTTACAAAAAACTTTCTCTTTGGATCCCTACAGTGGAGGGGTGAACACCAGCCCAGTGAGAAAAACCACTACCAGCATCTGGGTTCTCATAGGAATCCCATATGGCCTCAAGGGATGCGTGGGTTGAATGGAGGCCCTCAAAGGATTGCCCGTGTTCTGATTCCATCCGTGAATGTGACCTTATTGGGGGAAAAAGAGTTCTTCCAGGTATAATTAAGTCACCGGCAATGAGGAGATCCTCCTAGATTATCTGGCCAGGCCCTGAGTCCACTGACAACTGTCCAGTGAGACACACACAGAGGACACAGATGGATGAGGAGGTGACAGTGTGGTCACAGAGGCAGAGGCTGAAAGTTCTGCACCCTCAAATCAAAGAACACCCAGCGGCACCCAAAGCTGGAGGAGGCAAGGAATGGGTTCTCCCGGGGGCTGTGAGCGGGAGCGCAGCTCTGCTGACATCTGGTCTTGGGACTGCTGGCTTCCCGTTAAATATGAGAAAACACATTTTGATTGTGTTGAGCCGTCAAGTTGGTGGCAGTTTTTTCCAGTATCCCTAGGAAACCAACTCAGTAATCTTCTGTTTCGGGGATGCACAAGACCTGCGATCCCGTGCGTCTGCTGCAGTGTGCCAAAATCATGGCCAAGTACGGATCAGCCCAGCACAAAGTAGCCCACGTGGGCAGAAGCAGAGCAAACTGACTCAGGCTGTACCCAGTTCATTTTGAAGCGGCTCAAACCCGCACCCTGCAGTGATGGAGCCGCATGCAGGATAGGAGCACAGACTCTAGAGACAGATGAAGTGTGTTCAAACCCACTTAGCAGCAGAGCAACCCAGGAGGGCATGTTTTTTTAAAGAGTCCTGCCTCAGTTTCTCCATATGTAAAATGAACAGTGCCCCCTGCAGGGAAGTTGTGAAGATTTTTTAAATTTATAGACTCAGGGTATCTGCAATGAACAATACCAACATCTCAGACATACAGAAGAAGCACCTGCCATTATTCAAACTACACAGATCCAAACAGACATGAATTCTGAATAGTTGAGCAGACTCAAATGTGTTCCACTGAGCCCACCAGCGAAAACCAGCGGAAATTAGCGTGAACGGGTGTAGTAGACTTCTGAAGTCTGCCCGCACTAACACCAGATTAAGCCAGTCAAAACAGGATCAGAGCGGCCAGTCTGGAATCTGTGCACGCCCGCTTGCACCCACACGGTCTCTCTACGCATGGTGCCCATCAGCTTGAGCAGCGGCAAACAGCCCCAGGTCCCCCAGGAGCCCCTGCAGGCAGAGAGAGTGGAGGGGACGGACGTAGACAGACATATTTCCCTGTCGGAAGCAGGGCCAGCAGTGTGATTGCTGCTTAGAGAAACACTCAAATGCTGATGGTGCTTGGCTCTGATAGATATCCAAATCCAGCTCCACACTAATTAAACAGAGGAGACAGGATGTGCGCATGGTACAGGATCCCGAGGGTCTCACGAAACCAAGGTAATTAGGAGGGATAGTCAGAGCACGTGAGCATCTGGAAGTGGTCAGAGCCTCTGCCCCCGAGGCCCCACTCTAGTCCAGGGCCGGGCAGTGACCCCCTGTACGCAGGGAAGCAGGTAGGGAGCTGCAGGTGAGGCCCACAGGGCCCTTGGAAGTCCTAGCCCGTCACTGGCACCATGCTCTGCCCTCCACAACACACTGGTGGCACGTTTTTCTCCCCTGCAGCCTCCTAGTCAGGTAGATGCCTCGGAGGCGCCAGCTGGTACCTAGCTGGAGCCGGGAGCTGGGAGAAGTGTCCAGGGCAGAGCGTCTCCCCTGTGTCACTGTCACTGCATGGTTGCTTGAACACAAGTATGTGTTGGCAGAGGGACGTGGGCAGGTCAAGGGCTTGGCTGCATGTCAAGAGCTCTCGGTGCAACCCTGGCAGTGGCATGACCTTGAGCAAGTCACCACCCTGCCTGGGCCTCACTAACCATAGCTGAAATGAGAACGTGTCCTCTGTGGTCACCAAGGGTTTTAAACTCCTGTAAATCCAAGAGATCTTTCAGTCCAACACTCTCATTTGCAGGTGGAGGAGCAGAAACCTAGACCGGGGGAGGATGGGACCACAATCATATGGGCAGGAGGCCCAGGAGCTGTCACTGTCATCTACTGTCCATCTGGCATGTGCTTGACAGTGCCCCTCTGTCCCTCTGCGTAGAATGGTCTTTCCTGTTCCCTGGGCGCCTTTTATGTTATTCCTCCCCCATAACTCTCACATTAACGGTACATTTCTTTTCTTTTTCTTTTTTTTCTTTGTACTGGGAATCGAACTCAGGACCTTTCACTTGTCAGGTGGGCACTGTGCCACTGAGCTATATCCCTGGCTAACAGGTGCATTCCAGAGGTGAAAACTGAGTCCCAAAGACAAGCCTGCCCAGACACAGCTATCTGAATCCTTCTCTCTGGGGCTCCTAGGGCAGAAGTGGTCAAAGGCCAGCGGTCAAAGGCCTTCAGGGAGGAAACAACCTTCCTGCTCGAGGCAAGGGAGCAGGCTCAGGCCAGGAAGAAGCTAGGAGGGCAGTATCCCACTGATTTTTTTTTTTTTAAAGCAACCCTTTCCATTTGATTTTTAACCCACTAATTTGTTCTTATGGTTCAAAAAATACATACATAAAACATAACAGTAAAAATTCTCCCTCTCCTCTCCACCTCACTGCCTCTGCAGACTGCTTATTCCCATCTGTATTTCCTGTACCCTTTCAGAGCTCTTATGCGAGTATGAAATGACTATATATTCTTAACACCCCTTTTTGCATAAAAACCACACCATGCTATATCCCTTTTGAAAAATCGCATCACACATCTTAGAGACTTTCCTCAGGCATGAGAGTTTCCTGGTTCTTTTCGATCGCTGCGTAACATCCTATATACAGGTTGGGCTTTTGAGTTCTTTCTGTTTGTTCCTTCTGCCGTTTCTATGGTGCTGGGGTAGAATGCAGGGGCTGAGGCAGGCTAAATATGCCCCCCTACATCTGGGCCACAACCCCCAGCCCTGGGGGCTTCTTTTTTGTTTTGTTTTGCCTTGTTTTGTTTTAGTATCACAAACAGTGCTGCAATGTACAATCATGTATACGCATCACTTTAAACGTGTGCATGCATAAAATTTATCACAGGATAAATTTCTAAAAGTGAACTGAAAATATTTTAGTTTTCCATTGCTACATAATAGAGCACAACAATCTAAGTAGCTTAAAACAACCCTCAGTGGGGCTGGGGATTTAGCTCAGCGGCATAGCACCTGCCTGGCAAGTACAAGGTCATGAGTTTGATTCCCAGTACCAGAGGAAAAAGAAAAAAAAAAAATTAACCCTCAGTGATGAGCTCATAGTCCACAGCTCACCTGGTGTGGTGACACATAGTCCTGCAAAACTGAGGTATGGGCAAGGCTTAGTTATTTGGAGGCATTAGGGGAAATCTTTTTCCTGAGTGTGTGTGTGTGTGTGTGTGTGTGTTTGTGTGTGTACTGGGGATTCAACCCAGGGTTTTCGCATTGTTAACTACAGCCTCATCCCTTTTTAAAGAAATTTGGATATAGGGTCTCACTAAATCACTGAGTTGCCCAGGAGAGCTCTAACTTGGCAATCCTCCTGCCTCAGCCTCCTGGAATACTGGGATTACAGGTGTGTACCACCATGCCAGCTACAAATTCATTCTTATTGGGGTTGTGGGGTTGTGAACCAGAAATCCCGGCTGTCTTCCTGGCTATCCACCTGGGGGCCTTCAGCACCCACAATCCTTGCCATGTGGATCCCTCCAACCTTAAGCCAGAAATGGCATGATGAAGCTTTTCTCCTTTCT